GTCTCTAATCTGTTCCACTGGTCTGTGGCTCTGTTCTTGTGCCAGTACCAAATTGTCTTGATCACTGTGGCTTTGTAGTAGGGCTTGAAGTTGGGGAGTGAGATCCCCCCCAACTTTATTCTTCCTTCTCAGGATTGCTTTGACTATTCAGGATCTTTGGCGGTTCCATATGAATTTTTGAACTATTTGTTCCAGTTTGTTGAAGAATGTTGTTGGTAATTTTATAGGGATTGCATCAGATCTGTATATTGCTTTGGGCAGGATGGCCATTTTGACGATATTAATTCTTCCTAGCCAGGAGCATGGGATGAGTTTCCATTTGTTAGTGTCCTCTTTAATTTCTCTTAAGAGTGTCTTGTAATTTTCAGGGTATAGGTCTTTCACTTCCTTGGTTAGGTTTTTCCTAGGTATTTTATTCTTTTTGATGCCATTGTGAATGGAATTGTTTTCCTGATTTCTCTTTCTTTTAGTTCATTGTTAGTATATACGAAAGCCACAGATTTCTCTGTATTAATTTTGTATCCTGTACCTTTGCTGAATTCTGATATTAGTTCCAGTAGTTTTGGATTGCTTGTTTTGTTTTTTACTAATACGGAAACCAAGGCTACACAGAGTAGCTCGGAGGCTTGCCTGTGGAGTCCCAGCCTACCCCAGCCAGCTCCTCCATGGCGTATTCCAGGCCTTCTGGAAGGCTCTCTGGAAGGAGTGAACCATAATGGATGCAAACTGGCCCCACTGCCGAGGTCATGGGATGGGGAGCTCTGGGCCAGGGCAGCAAGTGAGCAGCTGCAACTAGCCTCCGAGTGTGACCACGTCCCGGGTGCTGGGTGTCCAGCTGTGGATGAGCCCAACAAGGTGTCCAGAGGGGAGCCGTAGACCAGGAGCACATTGAACAAGACAATAACGCAGTGGTAGGAGCTCAGCGCTGTGGGCTCTGGGTTACCAGGGGCATAAGGAGGTGCCCTCTGTCCTCGGTAGCCACCTCAGCTTCTGCCGGCCTTCGAGAGTCCCCATCCCTGGGGCTGGCTGTGGCCTGGATGAGGGGGCTTAGCAGGAGGAGGCTTCTGTAGCTGTGCCCCTTTCCATGGGGCCCCCAGAGAGGGATGGCCCTGGAGGAGATATGGGCTCTGTATGTCCCAGGGCTACTCCCACCCAGGGCAGAGTCGGCCTTGGGAGGTCAGGGCCCTGCCCCGTGGGCTCTTCAGCCCCCTTCCCGGGGGACCAGCTGCAGACAGGGGACACTGGCCGTCTCATCAGC